CATTTTTTAGAAATCTGACTAATATACAGAATAGTACAGATCAGAGGAATGTTCTGTATGTTGACTCTAACAGAAATTAGAAAATAGGATTTTCATACATATTTACATCACCACTGTGAGCTTCCTAAGAAGACATTCCAAGTTGGTATCTTCCCTTTTATGTAGAGCTGTTTGTATGGTTTATTGCTCTTTGGAACGTGCTAGGTAGCCACCCCACAATAGTCAGTGCTTTTCTAAGAGGTTCAGAAAGGGTGATGCGAGAGGCTTTCAAGTACATTTGAAGCCATTGCTTATCAAATGCTAAGCCCTCGATGTATTGTTTTATGCTTCCCTAGGCTGACAAGCTTGGTTGAATCTGAAAAAGCTAAGCAGGCTTAGTAACTAGATAGGAAAATACCAGAAAATACCAGGAAAGTAAACTGGGTGGGAAGTTAGGAAAATATCTGTATTGTTGCCAGAACAACAACATAGATATGTCCATGTGGATACCAGGAATTGAGCTTGAGTTAAGGGAAATATAAATATAATGTAAATCCTTGGCAGGAAATAACTCCATCTGCCAAAGTCACATAAGAATTTAATTAGACTGTAGTTTGGTCGCCTCATAGACAAATCTTCCATCACCGAAGTGAGAGGAAGCTTCATCTTAAAACTGCAGATCATATCATCCTTGTTTCATTAGTCAACTGAACCCTCTTGTAATATCATATGCTCCTCCCTACCTCCTGGGGTCTACAGTTGCAGCCATGTGCCACAACCTCCAAGAAGACAGAGCTCTTTCAATGTTGCTGGGTAAGACCCAATGGTATCCTACTGCTATGGTACATTTCAAGTTATTTTAATTGCATATCTGGGATGCAATACAATGGTCAAAACAATCATCATTAAGAGATAAATCTGACCTTGGACACCACAGAATGTTTTGCTGACTGCATTTCATCTAGACATCTTCTCTTCCCATTCCCACAGTACTAAACACATCTGAAATTCTACAATCCTAAATAACCTGACTAGAGAATAATCCCACAGAAAAACATTTCAAAGCACAGGTAAACAGGTGTTTTTAATTACTGGGAGCTTGCCCAATCTATGGTAACTTTTGCAAAGTCACTAGACACTAGACACTCAAGCTGAGCCATCTACAAATAAAAAGCTTATCCAGGATCATAGTCAAGAACAGTTGAATGGAATGGGAATAAGCAAGATAACTGGCTGTATCCCAACTACTGTTTTTAACATGAACTCATATGGAATTTTTTGCAAATTGCCCTTAATAATACTTCATGATTTAAAATTTAAAATTGCACTGTAGTTCCTCTGCACCTCTTAACTTTACATGCTACTAGATTATTTTTTATGCAGTCAGATTGTGGTGCCCATTCAAGATAGCCTCCTCCAAGCTCCACTATATTTGATACTCTGCTTCTAGGAGATGCGCAGTTGCAGTAGCAAAACAAACAATATTATTTGGAAGGATTGAAAAGCAAAATATTACAACTCCAGACAGAAGAAAAGGAAAGCCATGAAAACAGCCTGAATAATGTACAAAATCAAATACTGAAACAAATGAATTTCAGTGAAATGGGAATTTCTGTGAAAGAAGATATAAAGGTTTGTCTAATATAGCAGGTAGCTGATTTTCCCTTTTGTGGAACTGGATTTCCTTCTCATAATTCTATTACAAAGATGGCCTCAATTTGGTGTCTTGCTCTCTGGAACCCTGACTCCATACTGACCCTACTCCATACTGACATGTGAACTAAACCCAGTGAAAATTCTTGAAGTGAATCTCTTCCCCCTGCACTTTTGCACAGACTGATTTGCTGCAATGTAGAGGATAGACAAGCTTGGGTCTTTAACCAAGTATATTTCTTCCCTTATAAATGGGGGCGGCAGTGGAGAAGACAGAATATTTTTGACAGTGGCTTGAGGCAATAGGAAGGATTACTCCATTCTTCCTCACTGCAATGAAAGATATTCCAAACTTAGCTTTTTTAATTCATGGTGTATTTAGTACAGACGTTCTTAAAGATGTGATGCCAAGGTATTTATTTGTCAGCATCCTGTACTAATGGTCCAAGTTACCACTGTTGATATAAAGGGGGACAAAATATTACCTCATAAACACCAGTGCTGCTGATCATGTTATAGATTTGGTAAGGCTTCTCAAACTATTCCATTTTATATTATTCAGTATTTTCTTTCAGTCTTGAACCTCACAATAATTACAAAATGAAATGGAATAAACTTTCTTTGGCTGGAGTAGGAGTAGGAAAATGACCAAGAAATTTTTGTTTGGCCCAGATTTTTTCAGGAAAAACTACTGTTATTGTTGTACAAAGTTTTAGCAATTGTTATTCAAACAATACTCAGCTATAGTCAGATTCAGCTGTATTCAGTTTTAGCTTTCTTACATGCTGAAAAAAAATCTTTCTTGGAACAACAAAACTTATTATATACGTTTCTTAGAATCTGTTTAAAATCAGATTATTGTGATATATTTCCCTCTTGGCATAAAAACAGATATCATTCAGAATCAACCAAGTGGCTTATTGACTATGCAGATTGCATGGATCTGTACAGAGTTGAACACACATATAAGCGATCAGGGTGACTACTTTGGCACATATCCAGTTTGCAGATAAATCTATATTTCCCATGCAAAATTGTAGAACATGAGCTCAGTTTAGCACAACAGATAAATGTGAACTGAGTGGGCTGCTAGCGACTTGGTTTCCTGGTAGAAACAACTATACAACCTCTTTATCACGTGCCAAATTCTGCACAGAGCCACTCAGTTCACATTTTCAATATGTGAATTAGTCCTTACTGCATTCATTCATGTCAGTGCAGGAACAGGATCAGTAAAGCAACCCCAAATCACTTACAGGATCCAACTGCCTTTTCTTGTTGGGAATTTCAGTTGCTGTAATCCATTTTCTGAGGTCTAGACAAGCATCAAAGATATGTGCATGCATGTATGTAGGTAAATGTTTAGCAGCTCAGAATTTGGGGCTGTCAAGAGTCTTCAAACAACCTCAGGGCCGAATCACACAAGGCAGTATAGGATCTGCAAGTGATGAGTGGAGGATTTGCTCACAGCCATCATTATTTCATTATTTTATATTCATTTCAAATGCAGCTTTCCTGGAATGTTGATTGCAGAATTGCCTTTTATTGAAGAACTATCCAGCCCCTTGAGAGTTGCAGCTTCAGCATCAAAAGGGTACAAATCCAGGATGCCAACCTACGAAGAGAAGTCCATGAAGAAGTAGCTGTTGCCTCCTTAGTGAAAAGCAGTAAATCCAACTTGAGGTGTGAAGTTGGCCAAAGTTCTTTTATCATATTACACTTGGGTGTTTTTCCAAAGATTCTAAGAGCCAAATATGGACTGTTTTTACTCTAATCTTGAGAACATTGAGTCCATTGCATGAGATCATTCCAAAGGAAACCTTAACTCCCAAGCTGCACATTGGCACATATTAATATATGGTCAACTCTTCTTCTGCTATAGCCAAGTGGTGCAGCTCTATTAAGACATTTTCAGAGGAAAGCTATTCTGTACCTAAATGAATGACCTTGGGCTGGCCTTATTGCATAAACTCATCTTCTTCTAGAAAATGCATTTAAGACTAAATACCAGATTTGGTGCATATTGAGATGAAGGTATGCTGTACCTTTGCATCTTAATTACGAATCTCAAGGTTCTGTACTGTTAAATACTTCAAGCAATCACTGTGTGCTCCAATCTTTTATATTTAGATATCAAATATTTACTTAATATTTGTTTGACACTGTCACCAGAGATCCTTTCATTACAAATATTTTTTCCCATTTCTGGTCAGCCATGTCTCTATATATGACACCACAATGAATCCATTACCAGTTTCTTGATCTATGTGATGTTTATGATTCATATCACCTTAGTTGGTTTGCATACTCAAGCAAGCAAACAGTTTGGGCATTTTCCTTGCATATCACATTTCTGTTCAGTATACATCCTTCCCCAACTCAATTGCTTTTAGTTTTTCTTTTTTTATGTCCATGAATATCCTTCAAGCCACTGGACAATCTAGAAACACTATAAACAAGTATACTCTATAGTCTACTTAAGAAAATAGATATATTTTTATGTAATAAATATTAAGATCCATGCAACAAATATCCATGCAGCTGTACTGTAATACTGGTTAAATGCCTCTGCAGAATAAATATATTCTAGGCCACAGCTTATTTGCTCCAGCATTTGAAACAATATGCTTTTCAGTTCTGCATATGTAGGTGACCCCCCCAAACCAACAAAAATGTATGCTTTAAAAAAAAAATGTCTCCAGGATCTTGATGTATCTCTCCTAAAGAAACAACAACAACAAAAATTTCCTACTAAACAGTGCCTCCTGCAAGCCTCACACTGACATGCTGCAGTGGATATATCCAATGCAGCATTTTTGGTTCAGAAGCATAACCCTGCATGGTACAGTCTCTCTCTGGCACTTCTGATCTGGAAAAAACGAACTTTAAAAAGTAATTTGGACAAATATTCCTTTAATTAAACCATGCATGACCTTTTGTATAATTTTCAAAGCTTGAAAGCTATATAGTTGCATACTATTTCCTTGGAATATATATTCTTTTGCATGGATTGAGTTCTATATTAAACTATGTTTATCTAATTGGCATCTGTGAATATCTGTTGGCGATATGGAGAGGTTGTGGGTTTTGTTTTTCTTCAATGCCATTCATCTGATATTGTGACATAATTGTTCCTTAAATGTTTGATATATTTGGAAACCCAGAAATCTGTATTAGAAAAAAAAATTGCATGAAAGCTTATTCAGCATTCAGTGTTAAAAAGAGTCACACAACTATTGCTTTCCATGCAGAACCAATACATGTTGCAGAACATATTGTATTAACTACAGTGCAAGGTATTATGCAACATCTGCAAATGTTCCACTCGAATTTTAAGTATATTATTAGGGTTCTCTTTTTTTTATTAGCTAGACATCAGTTAACATTTTAGTTATATTAACATAGTTTGTGTTAGCTAGGGTGCAATTGGCTGTTTTCAAGTTCTCCTCTCTAAAGTCCTCATTGCTATTATTCACACCTTCTTGTATCTCCATATAATCAGACTTACTAATAGTGGAGGCACTTCTGCTTTTCTTTAGGTCAGGGGAAGAAGGGATCTTTGGGCAGCTGGTGACTTGCAAGTATTGAGCTTGCTCCTCTCCTTCTGTCTCACGGTGATAGAAGTAGTTGAAATTAGACACTATAACCGGCACTGGTAAGGCAATTGTTAGTACACCTGCAATGGCACACAAGGAGCCAACTATTTTTCCACCTATGGTCGTGGGGACCATGTCTCCATAGCCAACTGTTGTCATGGAAACCACAGCCCACCAAAAAGCATCAGGAATGCTTGGGAACTGAGATTCACTCTCATCAGCCTCTGCAAAATAGACAGCACTGGAGAACAGGATGACACCAATGAAGAGGAAAAATATCAAGAGGCCTAGTTCCCTCATGCTGGCCTTCAGAGTCTGTCCCAGAATTTGCAATCCCTTGGAGTGTCTGGAAAGCTTGAAGATCCTGAACACCCTCACCAAACGGATCACTCGAAGGATAGCAAGAGACATTGCCTGTTGACCTTGTTGGCCATCTTCTGGTTTCTCAGCCAGCTCTGTGCCAAGTGTGATGAAGTACGGAATAATGGCAACAATATCAATGATGTTCATGATATTGGTAAAAAACCCAGCTTTGCTAGGGCAGGCAAAGAATCTCACCAAGAATTCAAAGGAGAACCAAATTATGCAGAGTGTTTCTACTATAAAGAAGGGGTCTGTGAAAGATGTCGGCTGTTGAGACCCCATTGTGCTGTTGGAATAAAGGCTGGGGTTGCTACTGCTACCATGCATGTCCTCAGTTTCATCACGGAACACAGGCAAAGTTTCCAAGCAGAAACTTACTATGGAGATTAGGATGACCATGACTGAGACAATTGCTATAATCCTGGCTGGTCCAGAACTTTCTGGGTATTCAAAGAGAAGCCATACTTGTCTCTGAAACTCATTCTCTGGTAAAGGCCGTTCTTCTTCCTTGATATAACCTTCATCCTCCCGAAACATCTCCATAGCTTCTTCACCAAGTTCATAAAACCGTATTTCTTCTGAGAAGATGTCCAAGGGCACATTAACAGGCCGTCTCAGTCTGCCACCTGATTGGTAGTAATATAAAATAGCATCAAAGCTGGGTCTGTTTCGGTCAAAGAAATACTCATTCCGGAGAGGATCAAAATATCTCATTCTCTTTTTAGGGTCTCCTAACAAGGTCTCTGGAAACTGAGCAAGTGTCTTAAGTTGTGTTTCAAACCGCAGCCCCGAGATATTAATAACCACCCTCTCGCAACATTCATGATCAGTTTCTGGGTTATAAGTGTCCTGAGGATGACCAGGCAAAGCTGCTGCTTCATCTGTGGGATCTCCAGTAGCAACAGTCATATTTAGGCTGTTTTAATCAAAACCTTTATGAATATCTGGTGGCTGGGAGGTGTTCACCGAGATTCTAATATCCACTGGAAAGTTATGTACACGGGGTTTGAAGTAGTTCATGAAAACAGAGAGTTCGTGAAAAGCTCTGTCAGCTGAAAAAAAAAGAAAGAAAGAATAATATGAGCATTTCCTCTCACACTCTTAGCCATGTGTGTGTACATTCCATTCACAACATTTCAGTTGAATTTAATTTGATTCCTCTGTATAACTTGAAGAAGGCCTCTCATCTCAAATGATGCAAAAGCTGTATCATTTAAGAAAAGTTTATAAAGATACAAGAAGAAATACAGAAGGCTTTCTAACTGGCAATCAGCAAATGACAACATTGTTTTTCCCAGACATCACAGGGTATTCCAAGAGCTTCAAAGCCCTCTCGGGCTTCATCCTCTGCGCTGAAGCATTAAGATGACCCACACAGCACCTGAGACTCAGCATTCACCTCGAGGAATTGCCCTGATGGCTCAGATGTTGAGTTAAACTGTTATATCAAGCATTGTGGTGCATCTTTAACACACTGCATTCTAGATTTTAACTTCTCAGATGTACAGCCCAGCCTCCCTCTCTTTCTCTTTCCTACTTCTTTCCATTGTCTTTGCAAGGTCTCCCTTTGCTCTGGCTGCATTTCTGAATAGAAGTTCCTCTTCTGTAATTGCCTAAGAAAGAACAGCAAATGAAAAACAACTCACATTACCTCAGTGCCTCTGCCACTGATTATCTGACCTTAGAGAGAAACACAGAGATTCATGTTCCCAAGATTCTCATAAGTTCCTCTGTTAATGTGTTGAGTCAGGAAGGAAGGAAGGAAGGAAGGAAGGAAGGTCTTGAAAGTGGAGGCTAGGTCTAATACTGAAATGGGGGTTGCTAGATAGAAGAGAGGACTCTTAGAAGCTATTTAGCCCTTTTCTTTAATGCAATGTCTATATGAACAGAAAACCTTTCTATATGATAGTGGAAGATCCCATACTCAGCAAAAACCTGATGTCCCCAGTGTCCTCAAGAAGTCTGACATTGCCTGGAAACCAGCAATTGGGTAAAACAGGAAGGGCTGTAAAACAGCATTGATAAAGATTCAGTTGTTAAATGCAGCTTGCAAGCCCTAGTTATCCCGGGTGAAACAAAAGGAGCAATTGTGACAACATGAAAAATAGAGATACACCTCTCTCTCTCGAAATCTCTCTCTCATCCCCACACACCATACATATTGCACACCCAAAGACGCACACGCTCACATTGCAGTGGCAGGAGTCTACACACCATTTGGCATCTGTGCTGTTTGCTGTTGCAGGTCCGCTGCAGTGTAGTCTCCGCTGAGCTTCCTTTTCAGAAGAAAAAACAGAGTATTGTGCTCTGTGCCATGCACTGCTCAGCCAGCTGCGGCCGGGTTCCCATCAAAGCAGCACTGGACTTCATGTGGCATGCAGGACATGACCTGGGACGTTTTGCTTCTGAGCACCTGAAGAATACCCCATGTGGACTCGAGATCTCAGCCCCAAAGCCCCCCTCCCCCCGGGACTGCCCTGCCCTTAGCTGGATGCTGCATCACCAGCCATCCAGCCGCTGGTTGGACTTCTCAGAGGGGATGCTCAGCACCCTTAGAGCCACAGGCTGCTATCCCGCCTTCTTCTCTTGGGACACTGTTTTTTTCTTCTTGTGGTTCATACGAACAACCAAAGGCTTTCTCCTTCCCAGGAGAAACTCCCTGGCTTCCAATCCTCAGCAGAAGACAGCTGCCCTCCTTCCCCACTCACAGCTAGGATGCAAGAACTAAGGGAGGGGAGGCAAGTGAAACACCACTCTTTAATCCGAGTTCCTAAGAGATAGATATTTTTTCATGCAGCTGACCTGTCCTTTTCCTGGATGCCCATCAATATCAACAGTCCGGAAGGCTTAGCTTCAGATCGCCTTCGGTTGGATTTCCCCACTGCCTCCTGTCTCCTAACCTCCCTTCTTCTTATGCATTAGAAAAATAGTACAACCCTGACAAGCTCGCAGCCTTCAACTGTTATACTTAACCCCTTCTGTACCAACACAAAGTCATCGGAGGCAATCAGATGCTCCTTTCTTGCCCTCCCCCTTTCGCTCTCCTCCTCCCTCCTCCTCCTGCTTTGAATTGCTAAGAGAATCCAGCCCCCTTGGGAACGGAGGGTTTTTAAGGCAATATTTCTGAATGCAAAATGGTAGAGGTAGTTTACAACCCTTAGATGCACAAAATGGAACAAAAACAAATCCTAGCTTGATGTTAGATTTGGTTTTTTTTCATCTCCACTTCATAATTACCCAAGATCATGAAGACATATCAACCCCACACTACCAGCAGCTTAATTTTTATTTTAGTTGTCCTATAGAATTCTACATCCTAAGAATACTGATTCCTTTAAAATGCACCGTGTTTCAGTGTCATCTATCATTCATACATATCCAATAGCTGCTTTCTCCTAGACCTCGTGCTATAGCTCAGCATTTCCTGCATTCTTGCATTGCATTACAGGGAAGGGAAAATGATGTCTCATGCAAATAGGTTTGACCAACAGAGCTCTACTGAGATCATAACAGGGGGTGAACCAGATCAGGTAAATGCCTGTAAGGCAGATCTGGATGAAATCATCGCCGGACCAGGCACATGAAGCATTCCAGACACTACAGAACGTCTGGCATCATTTTGGAAAGCACGGATGCGTGCACAGAGAAGGCCACCTTTGATTTACCCTTTTCAATTGAAATATGAAGCATCCATTTTCACAGTTTGTGGTAAACCTCTACTGAACCTGAGGGGAGGTGGGGGGGGGGGCTTGAGCACAGCAGCTTACAATTGGTTCTGCAGTTAGACATGCAAGGAATACCTAACAAGCTTCCTGTTTGTTGTGCCCTTCCTTACCTGCAGAGAGAAGCAGCTAACTTAAAGGGGCCAGAGAGCTTAGAAACAAAGAGGAAAAGGAAGAGTAAACTTTGGCATCCCTGATAACATACATATTGATCCAGACAAGCTTCTGTTTTCAGTTTTACTTTCCTTTGTGACAGGATCCTAGAGGTCGATTCCCAAGAAATACAGCCTTCTGTTGTGGATATCTGCTGCTGCCCCTGAAAGACATGGCCTGCTAACTCTGACGTAATCGGTTAGTAACCAACCAAAACAGAAAAAATGGCAATGTGGTAGAGAAAAATGTCCTCATCTGCTACCCCTTTCAGCAGATCTATATACACTCCTTGATGGGCTCCTAGTACATAGTATATTATTTCTTTTTTATTTCTTTGTTAGATTATATCCATGTTTCCTTCAGGAACTTAAGAATGGCTCCTTCCTCCCATTTTTCCCCTAAGCAGCTATCCTGTGAAGTAGGCTGGGCTGAGAGACTAGCCCAAAGTCACAAAAGTCAGGCTTTGATAACTGAGAAGTGATTTGAGCCTGGATCTCTCCATGCCAGTCCAACACCTTAACTCAGTGGTTCTAAAACATTTTGACCCAAATACCCCTTTTCCCAGTCTCAAATAACGTCATTACCCCCCACCTCCCAAAAAAGACTCGCAGCAGTCCCAAACTGGATCTTCCACTCACAAACAAGCATTTACAAATTGCTCCGTTACCCGCAGGAAACACCCAAATGAAGCCCTTGGTAATTACCCCCAGTTTAAGAACCACTGCCTTAGCCACCACATCATAAAGTACTAGTTAACACATCATCCTGTGGGATGCAGCTGAAGTTGTGTGGACTGCCACTTTTAAACAGAAGAGTCCATTTTGAGATTCTGGTAAGTAACATAACAAAAGCTCTATCACCAGTGTTTGATAAATTATGTCTGTTACAAAATTAGAAGTTATCACTTGATCTTGCACTCACTAAGTGACTAATATAAATATATGACTCAGTCTGTAGGTCCGACTCTCTTCAGCCCTCAACTTTACCTCTTTTTGGGCTACCTGATCTGAGCTACCCAACTGCAGGTAACTTCTAGATGGCAGCCAAGAGATACAGAAAATTCTATTTGCTGCCATCTAATGGTCAACTAGATTTGTGCCACCCCTATCTGGGAACTCTAGAGAAGGTATCACAAGCACACATAAATATGCGAGGGGTTGTTTTTATACCTGCCCATCAACATAAACACCCATTGGCCTGTAAAGGATGTAAAAAATAATCCAAAAATATACATATGTTAGTAAATACATTACAAAAGTGTTGTCAGTCAAAGAAGGTAACCTGAAAACCCAGTTCACACAAGTATAAAGACAACCTTTGCAAATTAATAAAATCTAATAAGAAAAAATGTTAATTATAATAACTCAGGGTGATAAATAAAGTCAAGGCAGAAGTGGTGGTGACTTTGGGGACCCAGGAATAGGGCCCCTGACCAGGCCTTCAGCTCTTTGAAAAAAAACACACCTGGACATCTTCTGCGGAGTGTCAGTGCACACCCTGGGGGGGGGGCACTGAAGATGTTACCTAGCAGGGTAACAAAACATTTGCAAGAAAACAACCAGGCTCAGAGAACCCCAAGGACTCCACAGGAGGAAGGAATGGCAGACAGAAGCAGGCTGCAGGAGAGTGACATGGGCAGCCACTAGGTGGCAGCAAAGAGCTACAGAAAATCACTAACTCTTTACTGCCTTCTAGTAGTCATCTAAAGCAGGGTTCCTCAACCTTGGCAACTTGAAAATGTGTGGACTTCAACTCCCAGAATTCCCCAGCCAGCTGGCTGAGGATTTGGCACTGGCAGGCCAGCAGTCCATTAGAAAAGAAGGAAGGATAGAAATGTGAGAGCTATTTCTCCTACCAGTGACCTTGTCATCTCTTAAGCCATATAATGTAATTCCAACTCCCAAAGAACCTGTATTGTCAGATGGAAATAAAGCAGAGATCATTCATGATTTGATAGTGGATAAGAACCTGACCTGGCTGGTGTAATGGATCATATGGGCCCAATGTCTACCAATTAGGCAAGTGGGAGTGGGA